GTTTTTGATAGTTGCCATTCTAATGTTTTTGAGCTGGTGACTCATTGTAACTCTGAGTCCCATTTCCCCGATGTTTAGTGATGTTCAACACCTTTTCATGTACTTATTGATCATTAACTTATCTTTTTTAGTGGAAATGTTTATTCAAGTTCTTTGCCAATTATTGAATTGGGGTATTTACCCCATAAATGTTCTTGGCATTCTTGTCAAAAATAACTTGGTCATATATGCAAGTGTTTATTTCTGGATTCTGGATTCTATTCCATTACTTCATATGTCTCTCTTTATGTCAGCACCACACTGTTTGCTTATGGTAAATTTGTAGCAGTTTTGAAATCTGAGGTGTGAGTTCTCCAGCTTTGTTCTTTCTCAGAAATGTATTGGCTAATCAGGATTCCTTAAGATTCAACATAAATTTCAAGAGGGATTTTTCTTTTAATGCATTAGTCTCTTATATATGCAGAAAACAAAACTTGGAGTTATAAATCAAAGTTACAATAACACTATATTTTAGATTATGATTATTTTTAATACATTAGTCTCTTAAATCATGTAGAACACAAAAGTTAGACGTACAGACCCTGGTTACAATATCGCAAGTTCTACAACTGCTTATGTATTTACCTTGATGGAGCTCTTTTTCTTCATTTGACATTAAATAACCATCTAATGTTCTTTTTTTAAAAATTCCATTACTGTCTTTAGCATTTATTGCTAGTGCTAAAAACCTGTCTGCTCTTGTACATTTGGGAAAGTATTAATTTATTTCTCATTTTTGAAGAATGGTTAGGCAGATATAGTATTTTTGGTTGACAGCTAAATTTTATCTTTTAGCACTTTGAATCTATCAGCCCACTGGTTTCTAGTTTCCTAAGTTTCTTGTAAGAAATCTGCTGATAATCTTATTGAGGATTCTTTGTATGTGACCAGGCACTTTTGTGTTGATAGTTTCAAAATTCTGTCTTTGTCTTTGGTTTACAGCAGATTGATTATAACATCTTAGCATGGGTTTCTTTGAGATCATCCCACTTTTAATTCATTGTACTTCTTGGATATTTATATTCATATCTCTCATCAAATTTGAGAAGTTTTCAGCCATTATTTCTGCAAACATTATTCTCCTTCTGACTCTTCCACAGTGTGTATTTTGGTTTGCTTGATGGTGTCTCACTGGTCCCTTTGGCTCTCTTCACTTTTATTCAATCTTTCTTTATGTTTTTCAAACTAAATATTTTCTGCTGTCCTAACTGCCAGTTCACTAATACTTTATCCTGCCTGCTCAAAACTACCTTTGAATCCTTTTTGTAAATTTTCCATTTTAGCTATTGCACTTTTTGTTCTGAGATTTGTCAGTTTATTTTTAGGTTTTCTATCTCATTATTGATATTTTCATCAAGCATTACATCATTTTCTTGACTTTTTCCACCTCTTCATTTACTTTGAGCATCTTCAAGATAGTTGTTTGAATATATTTGAATATAGTCCTTTTCAGAGAGAGTTTCTGGGTTTTTTCTTTTTGTTTCTTTTGAATGAGTCACAACTGTTTCTTTATATGCCTTGTGAATTTTTTGTTTAAAGCTGTACATTTGAATCTAATAATGTGGTAACTCTGGAAATCAGATTCTCCACTTTTCCCAGGATTAGATGTTTTCTGTTTTGCTTTTGTTTGTTTTGTTTTGTGTGCATTTGATCGTTACAGGCTTTCTCTGTGACAAAAGTGAGTCTGAAGTGTAAACATAATGTTTTCTCAAGGCTTTTCTGAGCCCACTCCTTTTCATGGGCATGATTGATGACTTTCTAACTTCTCCTGTATATGTCATTGATTTTAAATATCCTAGTCTTCAATTTCTAGATCCTAAGTGAGGAACAGAGAAAATTGAAGAAAGGAAAAGTTGTCAGCCCTTTAAATCTTTTGAAGGTTGTTTTATTTAGGTGGTGGGGGGGATTGAAACATTGAGGGAAGTTGTAGCAACAATGGTCATTGCCTGTTGGTATGCTCTTCTGTGATGAGAAGCAGCAAGCAATAAGCAGAACACAGATTTCCAATATTTGGAGGATGGGATGGAGTCCTTTTATCCAACCATGATCCCCACAAATTATATACAATCTATTCTAAGAATATATGCATAGCTGTCTACCATAGGGCTGACATATGTAGGATGGTAGCTGCTGCTATACTAATAGCTTAAAGGGACCAAAATTAACTGTAAATTAATCATCCAAGCCTTCACTTGAAGTTGTCAATGTTCAATAGACTCCAGAATATTAAAATCTTAATAGTTACATCAGTTAGATTCTTCCAGTATAATTGCTGTGTAAGGGAGGAAAGACAGATTTATGGTGCATCCAACCCTGTCATCATCCCAGAATTCCAACTCTTAGTTTTAATTTATCTTTGCTCTTTCTACCCACAAATCAATATTCAAATTATTATTTTCTATTTTATGTCATATTATCTGCTGGTTCCTGAAAACTTAGCATTATTGAAGGCATGTGTTTTGAAATCCAACAGGCACTTGTTGGTTGTGTGTCATTAGACTAGGTAATCAACCTCTTTAAGTTCATTTTCTTCATATGTAAAATGAACTAATATCCATTTCATATAGTTTTGAGTGTGAAATAAGAGAATTATTAGCTCAGGAACTGTCAGGTTGTGATTATTCTATTACTACCAACATGCTAATTATTTTGTTGTTTTTGATTGAAGAAATATTTATTGAACAATTAATGTGTACCAGACACAATTATTAAAAACACTTGGGAAAAAGTGTTGGCCAAAATCACTTCTTTTCTCTTATGGAGCTTGTATTGTTGTAGGAAAGTGCATATAGTAACCACAACAAGACAAATTTAGACAGGATTAAATTCTATGGCAGAGTAAAGAAAGAGGTGGAGTATAAGTGTACACCATTTACCATTCCCTTTTTATTTTCCAGTCACCTATCTAAGTTGAAAATTTAAGGTCTTTCCAAGCTGTACCTCTTCTTACTAGCTTGCAAAGTCACGGTAAAGACTTCATTTCAGAATGCTTTTTATTTAGTTTATTTATTTATTTCAGAGGGCTTTTTAGTATTAGTTCATTCTACAAATTCCCACCATCAGCATAAGGGTTCATCACTACTCCTAAGGGAGACCTTGGTGATGGTTTCCCTAGTAATTGTTGACTCTCACTGAGGCCCCATTTTAGTACTAGCTATACCATCTGTTATACTGGGGTTCTCAAAGTACACTTTAAAATTTATCACGTGCCTGTTTAAAAAAAAACCTGAAAATTCTCCCAATTACCCAATTACTCTCAGACTAGCATTCAACATCTCACATTTTATGTACCTTTCCCTTTTTTCCAGTCATACTTTCTTTCCTAGGCTAAGAGTTCCAGCCATGCCTCCTGCATTGCTCATCTTAATGCCCCTCCCTCACCTCAGACCTCCTTTGACAGTTTAGTTTTGCTTCTGTTGGTTTTCTGCCCCCAATTATTGCATTTTTCTTCTGCCTATAAAATATTTGTATTCTCATTGATAAAGATCAATGCAATGCTCTCCTTTACAAGTCTTTCTGTTGTTTTAGAGGAAGCATGATCTCTCTATTATTTGTTGCTTTTTGAGCTACTGTTAAAGAAGACAGGTAATTACCCTCTCTTGTGTTTTGCTTACTTGAGACCTTCTTATCTACTCACCAGATTGTAAAATCCTGGGTAATTGACTACCAAAACTACAGGACACTGAAAATACCAAGAACAACAAGTAGCCTGTTCTCTTCTTTATTTAATTACTTTTCTATTACTGAGAGTATAAGGCTTGATACAAAGAGTTGCTCAATAAATATTTGCTCAGCTGAGTCAACTAAATCAAGAAGTGGGCCTCTAATAGGTGTTACAACACTTATTATTTGGACTTTAATTGAGTGTGACTCCATGTTCATATATAACCTGTGGCCCTTTAAGTCCATTTACAAGATGCTTTACTACATATTACAAACTTTTATTTGTATCATATGATGCTAAAGTTTTGCAACTACAATGACTACTGCCCAGAATTTAATGCCAACTAAGAATTGAGATGTAGTTAAGCATTCTTATATGGTTTGCTTTAATGAGCACAGAAATGCATTATTATAAAGAAAAAAGTAACTAAAAGGTTGGTTGACCAAGCAGTTTAGAATTGAGACAGGAACCACCCCCTAATTAGAAACTGAGAGATAATGCATTTCTAAGGTTTGGCTAACTTGACCCATATGTTCCATTCTTTTTTCTTTTTCTTTTTCTTTCCCCCCTAGAAGCATGTGGGAAATGAAAAACCAGTCTGGTCTTCAATGGTTTGCTTTGTGCTTTTTTATTATGGTCAGTCACAGTAGATGACCAATGAATGTGTCACTTTAAGAAGAAAATCTTCTTAACCTTGAATGGATGAATCTGGTGTGAAATGCTCTATTTGATACATTCAGAGGGATCCTTTTGTAGATTAATGCTTTAAAATTGAAAAATGTTTTATACACTGAAGCCTGATTCAGACTCTGGTTCAAAAATAACTACACACATCACCTCTTGTTCTTTATGAGAAATAAAAATAATTACCATGATTTTTCTAGAAAAAAATAATTAGCTCTTAACATAAATCAATATAATGGGATGTTCTTTAATTGATCCTAGCCATATAGGCAACTGGAGGTATTGTTGTTTCTAGCAAAAAGCATTTATCAATGTATGTAATGTTGCTACTGATTTTTTTTTTACATATTTGAATGAGAAAGATTCTATCACACTTTGCCAGTCTGCAGCAATTCTTAAATGCTGATGGAAGAAAGGTGAGGATGTACAATTACAAGTTAATACAGCTGGATAAGAAAGGGTAACATTTTAAAACACAAAAATCTGCAATAACGTTAAGCTTGCTTTGAGCTTCTGCTCTCTTAAACCTTATCTCTAAGGGAGATAAAATAATGAAAAATACTTGACTAAACTGCTGGCAAAACTCTTATTGTTTGTACCACTCTTGGAAAAGACTCTTGGGACGAGCAGTGGAATCCTTGCTATTGATTGGCTGGTTAAATAGGGGACTATTAGCTTCAGACGGGCTAGATTGATTACACAGCAGCAGCAGGAGCTGAGACTCAGCTGAGCGAGAGCGTCAGGGTGAAAAGGAAAGCGAGCAAGAGAGAGAGGGAGAGAGGAATGCAAGGTAGGAGGAAGGCAGTGCACGTTCCATAGCATCACTATGTGAATGCTGGTGCCCGATAATCTTGCTTTGCAGCTCCCTCAGTCAACAACTTACTGAGGTGCCTTTTCTTTTAAAAGAGGATGTCAGCTCTAAGCTCCAGAAAGAAATAACAGACTTCACCTTGGAATAGCTCATCTCACTCCTGCATCATTAAAGCGGATTTTGAAAAGAAAACAAAAATCAAGTCCCCTTTCCAGCCCTACTTTGGTCCAGCATTGAATAGAAACAGCTTCATGCTCCAGGTAAGAAAATAAAATTTTTATTTCTGGATTTATTTTTAATCATTCACAGTAAAATGCATCACGGCTTTGCATGCTTTTAAAACTGAGTTTGCAGGGATGCGTTAAAGTCAGTGCTATACACAAGCATGTGGATTTAGAAACGTGGAAATGCATAATGTATTTATATGAATACATTTGCTTTTTTATCTCCAGGTACATATAAGTGATTTTAAATGATATCACTATATTATAAGTTTATGGAGCAGATACTCTGTATAAACAATAAGTTAAGTTTATTCTAAAAAGTGTATTTTTGTTACTATCTTGAAATATGCTCATAGGTATTGTTTTTTTAGTTGTTAATCAACTTTAGGAAATAATAGCATATCAAGAAAGGACCATTACTGCTTTCACTGTCAACTATTATATTTCATGCAGACATAGAAACCACAATGTGCTTTTCAGTGATTGTCAGGGGTTAATTTTAACTAAATCTGTCTTTTGATTGCACCCGTAACTCTTCAACACAAGCATGATGTGTCCTAAATGATGTGACATTAGAATGCTCTCTTATTATAGCTGTTGACGGTCAGCATTTGTTCTTAAGAAAGTACTGAGCTAAGGCAAAGAAATATGACTCTTGAGATGTTTAGCTATTCTAGAGTTCAATGCTGACCTGCAGTGCCATGAATTAATGCTTTAAGTGTCAGTGATGGTATGTGCAGGTTAAGTGTCTGTGAATATATGGGAACTTTGCACATATTAAATTTCCTGCTGGGAGCAGGGCTTTTAAAAAAATTATTTCTGAGGAAATTGATGGAATGGACTAAGAAAAATGGGCTAGGGCAATGCAGTACTAATGTAGTTGATTGACCTTAGTTTTATAGGTCACAGATCAACTGCTAAGAAGAAAACATGTAGGGGTGAAAAAGGATTTATGTAATGCTTACTGGAACTAACATGGTTTGTAACATTGTTTATGTGAATTTATTGGATCAATAAAGAGGTATTGGATCAATGGAGAGATATTTTTCCCCAAGAGTTGCTCTGATTGTCTTTTTCAGTGAAGTTCCCTGAGTCACTCCTCTAATCAAAGAACAAACTGCTATGTGTGATATGACAGCAAAAACTTTTTAATATATTGTTCTATGTTTCTAATAAGAAAATGATTACCAGCCCCATTGGGAGCCAGTGTGTCTAAATTTAGGAATATTACATAGTCTGAATGACTGTTTTTGTGTGTTTTTTCACCTTTATTTATATTTTAAATAAAACTCCATATTTGAAAAACAATTCTTTATGACATATATTTTGTCTTCTAAATATGAAATAGTATTTTAATGTTTCCTAATACTGTAAATATTATAGTTATCTAGATATTTCTATGGATGGTAACCATATCAGAAGGGAATAATTGAATTGGTATCATAAATTTCAGAAAGTATTGTATGCCTAAAAGAACAGAGATATATATGTTAAAAAATATTGACTTTTGTTTTTAAATTGAGTCATATGATATAAAGTTATGTTTCTTTTAAGTAAACAAATTCCAAATTATTAACTGAGAAATATGACAGGCATTGTAGACCACATATTTATGTATACGGTAGCAATATTATGCTAAATCCACTTACAGAACTTTGTCTAAAATCTATTGTAATCTAGCTTAATTGTTTTGTATATGTTAACTAATACTTATTCTGAAATTTATTCAAAATTGTGTTTTTCATCATTTCATTTTTATGCAAACAATTTGACATCTCATTCAAGGTGGTAACAGTTTTAACCAATTCATCTACTCATTTTTAAGTTTAATACACAAAGTTAATTTAAATTTTATAATTTTGGTTGCAACAATCTTAAGTATCTAACTTTTTATACAGTTCAATTTGCTTACAGAATTTATTGATGGATTAAATTGAGTTATATACAATAGAAAAACTAGTCCTAATTGTGTGTTTTTTATGAGACCATTAAAATTTTTAGCATGAGAAGATGTAAACATCCATACTTCCTTTTTTTTCCTGTAAATAGGCACATTCTTTCATCAAAAAAGACTTTTAAAATAATTTCTTAACACTGGATGTCTCTTGCACTCAGACAGTCTTCTTAGCTTACACTCAATGTTACTGTGATTCTCTTTTTTAGTTTTCTTACAAATTCTGTAATTTCTCCCATAAGGTATTTTGTTCCTCATCTTCTTAATAGGAAGTGCTAATGATTGGGGGAAAAAAGTTTTTTCATTAAACAACATTTCACACTTTTCAACTATGTAATTAATATGTCTCCTGATTTTAAGATCAGTGCACTTCAGCTAACATGATTGAGGAAGACAGGTATCCTAGGAGTCACATATATAGGTGTCACTCTAAGCCTGAAATCTAACAGCTTATTTAATCAATTCATCTTAGGGATTCTCACTATTCTTTGCATTTGAGAGCACTCTAATTGACCCTTTATTCAACCTTTTGTTCACTTTCATAGTGTCAGCTATCTTTCCTGATTATTCATTTTAGCCATTGTGAAACAAGAACTGAGAAAGTATTAATTCAACCTCTCCTGTTTTTACAGATGTATGAACCAATAGGGGGCTCTTTCTTCCTGTGTAATACTCAGCAAAGCACTGAAAGAGGTTATACTGCTTTCTTGAAATATTTTCCCTGTTTTTAAATGTGAATACCTCTTTAAGTTGCTTTTTCCTACTCCAAAAAGAAACACTTAAGATCAATAAGTTTTTATTTTCACAGGAAAGTAAATATATCCTGTGTTTTCTAAACTTATTCTCTTTAAAATATTTTTGTATATAAAATGTTTAATCTTTAAAAAATAACAATGTCTTGAGATATAAGCATGGCCTATTTTAGGCAATTTTAAAGATTATATGTTATGCAAAAGCATCATAAGAAATAGAATGATAAAGACAAACAAGAGTGAATTAACTGCCTTTACATAATCTCCAAATATCTGTGAACAGCACAAGAAGAGTTGATGACTCTGTGGCTTCCATTCTATTTGCTTTTAGGAGGAAAGAACAGCAGGCAGCTAAAAGAGAATATTACCTGTGTTCTACAAAAATAGGGATAGAATAATTGAAAATAATAGAATGTTTTACTATCCACGTACATATAGGAAATGTATTTTTAAATTCAGAAAAAACAATATTTTCTGTCTCACAGTTCATGAAGTTGTCATAAATATACAAAGGTTGATGTGAGGGCTTATTATAGGGGAAAAGTATTTCCTGTATCACTTTTGAAAGCCATGCATATTGAATTGCACAGCAGACTTTCCTAATAAATAGAAACATATTTCTCATGGCAGCTAAAGATGTTCCCTTACTGCAAGACTTGTCTGGGGATTAGGCAGAATTTAATGATGAGTTCATGGCCAAGCAACCTGTTTGGTAGGTCTAGGTTTTCCATCAGTTGCTGCCAGCTCATGAAAAGAGAGTTACATATATAATCTGAGAGAAATTTCTTTGGGAAAAGTGAGATAAGGGGAGAAATTCTGAGCAATGAATTATGGAATTTCCATTATTTGTTGAATGGCTTGTTGGTTTATCAGGGTGGAAGAGTAGTTGCTTAAATAAAATGGAAATATATAAATGGTAAAGACATCTCCTGTACTTTTGAAAGTAAAAACCTAGGACTTTTATTCTTTGTTTGAAAAGTTACATATCTTGAAAGGAGTCAATTTCTAATGCAGCTAGCATAGTATACATAGAACCGAGGGAATAATTTCAAGTCTACTGGATCATGATGGCATATACTCTAATGCCGTTTTTTCTTACAAAATTAGATTTTGATCATGTGAATTATTGAGTAATGTGACTTGAGTGGAAATCCTGATAGTATAGATTTGATGTCAACATTATTAAAAATATTTTAAGAACCTTAAATTTCTACTAAAAAGTGATTGTCTTTTGTGTTAAAGTAACACAGCATTGGAGATGGGGAAAAATTGCTAAAATTGAATATAAGAAAAAAATTAAAATGCAACAATTATATATATATATATATTTAAATATATATATATTTTTTTTTTGGGTGTTGCAAAATTTTGCCCAGAACCAAGAGATAAACATAACAACGTGAGGAATATTTATGGAAAAGAAGTAATGATACCACTGAAACATCTTTTCTATACCTCACATGGTATAGGGAGAAAGAGTTCTAGAAATGTCGAAAGTAGGAAAATGGGTAACTGAAATGGGCAATCATTAATATGACAGGCTAATACCAGACTTAGGAAATAAGAGGGCTCATTCTACTGGGTTTAAGCTAATGGACTGAGTTAGATGATGTTAATAATTAGAAAGCATTCATCTGTTTATATTTGTTTTTGTTGCTATTATCAATGAACTGGAATTGTGTTCTCTACAAAACCACTCCTGGGCCTATTTGTCTTTGTGAAAGTACATGTGTATATGATTGGGTGAGAATGTGTGTATATGTGGGTACAGTTATTTTTACAGAGTTCTGAATTCAATCCTTCCTCCAACCCTAACACACAAATACTGCCATTTTCTCTCATTATTTTATATTAGAAATTGCTTAGATAGTACCTTAGATGTGTTCATATGATACTTCTTCTGTTATCTTATTTCCTGTCCATTAGAGAACTCTGTATTGAGTCATGTAACTTAATCCTCAAACCCTGTCATTTACCAAACTCCAGTCACTCTAAATTTCAAATGAGAGGATTTGGGCACAGGGTTTCTGAGAATAGAGGAATATAATGAATCATACCAGTACACTCATTTTATTACTCATAGAATGAATAAGGTGGAAATGAGAGTGCATGTTATTAGTTGTCTACCAGATATACTAATCCCACTCATGTGTGAAAATGTACCCATTCTTACCCACGCTTGGCAAAAGAAAGTGAGGGAAGTTATACTAATAAAGCATAATGTATAACAAATGCCATTTTAGGGCAGGCATGGAAAATGAGTTTCAAACATCTATGAAATATAATTCTTTTCTTATTAATAGACGTTACTTTCATATCATTTTTAGGTT